GGGGGGGGGGGGGGGGGGGGGAGGATCTCTTCAGAAATACTTGAAAGTTGGAAACATAGTGAAGAGTAGATATTGGAAGCACAGCTTGTTAGGCATATAAGGTGGCATTACCCACACAATGCAACTTGCTGCTAAAATAAAAAATGTTGCCCACTTGAGGCATGTTTGTGTGAAAATCACACCTCTACATTTATTTTTAGTTTAAAAAAAAAATTGCTGAGCTCCTAAAATCCTCCTTTCTTTCCTTGAAGTGTTCCTCCAACCTCCCCCAGTCTTGGGATATTTTCAGTGTATTAACTGTTGGGCATAACAGTTCATGTATCCTTTTTTTCAAATATTTTTTTATTGAAAGTTTTAATAACAATAGTAAAAGAAAATACAAACTAAACTCAGAAGGAAGGGAAAGGAAAGAAAGAAAAAAAAGTGTACAGATAAAGAGAAAAGAAAAAAGAAATATAAAGTAGCTTCTGATCTTCATCACAGCAGGCAGAAACAAAGTTAATAATCCATCACCCCCATAACATTACATGCAAGTATCTCTTCTTCCATCCCTTATCCATATGCAAATCCATAGATTATTAACATTTCAGTCCTAGTGTCAGCAAAAAGTCCATAAAAGGATCCCAGATTTATACAAACATGTCTTATTTTAACCTTGGTCAAACAGACCAACTTTATACTCCTTCCTTTTGCTTTTAACAATCTTAATATTTAGTTCATTCAGATGCTGTCATAGGATTTGATCTCCCATTTTTCTTTTTCCCATCTCGAATATTTCTTCAAGACTTTAACTAACTTATTTTGTAAGTCCAGTAAAAAGTCCTTATCCAGGTCAGTTTCTTGGCTTGTCATTTGTACTTCTACTTTAGTTGTTTTCTCTGTCTTATAGTCCATAAATTTTTATTTTCCAGTAGTTCTGCAAATTCTTTATGTTCTGATATTTCTGCATCAGACAAAGTTTGTTTCATCTCTTTATCTTGTAAATCTTCCAAGATGGTCTCTTTGGCATCAGTAATTTCTTCTTTAATATCTTTAGGTCATAATCTATTCACTGAAGCATGCATCATTGCTGAGATTGAAGCTGCTATTTTTTGACGCCATTCTTCAAAAATCTCCTGAAGTATTTCAAACGTCAAAGTGTTTTCTGTCATTTTGCAAGATCCAATGCTGACCAAAGACACTTTTTCACTTTTTTTCCTTTTCACCTTTTGCCTTAGTCCCCTCTAGTGTTCAGTTTCTGAAATTGTAAAGTCTCAAGTTGCTGTTTTGACTTAAGATAGACTAAACAAGTTGGTTCCCACAATTGTGCTGTTCATTTATATAATTATTTCCAAAATCTTATAGCAAAAGTCCTAATATTGCATTATTCCAAGTTTGTCTGGTCCCTTAATTCATTTATAAGTTTCTTAAATCATATTCTTATTTAGCTTTTTGCCACTTATTTCTAATTTGTTAAGTTCTTAAGCTTATAGTTAATTTTTCTTTTATTCAAGAATAAAGGAAAACTCACCAGGTGGCTTTTCAAACTTGTCATTTTGAAGATTTCTAATGTCCTTAAGGTAATTGAATAGGTAATTTCTAAAAATGCTAAGAAAGTGAGTTAGCAAACTCAGTGTCCTTTAAAAGGCTCTGCTGCAGTTGAGAACATGACAGCTCCCTTTGTCTCCTGGCACTCAAACCTGAGGGAAACCGCTGTCCTGTAGTCTCCTTGTGAGAAGCAGCTGTCTGGAGCATAAGTGGGTGATCTTCTGTCCTCTCCTTGTCTGAAGAAGTTCTGTGGGACCAGTCTACTTACCAGACCATTGGTCTTAGCTGCAGTTGTCATCTCCACTCATTCGGAGATGTCTTAACTCACCATTCCTCACCTGGAAGCCCGCAACAGTTCATGTATCCTAACATTAAGTCACTAGCATCAACAAGTCTGGTTCAGACTAACATCTCAGTTCTTCTGTATTGTTGCACAGCTTTTACAGTGGTGATGGATATAGGCGGTGGCAAATAGTCATGTACACTGAGTTACTACAATACAATAGGGGAAGGGAGAGGATTGTTTCTTTTCCGTTTTCCCATTGTCCTGTCCCAGGCCAAGCACACTCAGTCACATGGAGAGATGGTTCTTCTCTAAATGGTGTTTTGCAAAATGAATAAATGGGTGGCAAGAATGCAAGTGCAAACACGCACACAGGCAGAAAAGAAACAAGTCCCTCCAAAGTTTAGCAAGCTTGCCTTGAAAGACTCTCAATCCAAAGCGGTGGGCAGAAGAGTGGTCAGGCAAGGTCCAAGGGCCAAAACTTTGTAGCAGGTTCGTCAGCTGGTCCAGTTCCAGAATCAAGGTCGGGAGGTTTGCAGATCAGGAGTCAGGGCGCATAGAGTGGGAGTTAACAGGTGGTTGTCATCAACAAAGAGGCTTGAGCTCACTGTTCTTCTTAAATAAGAGCAGCCCCGGTGTGGCTCATTTGGAGGATAAGGCTTCTTCCTTGCAAGTCTGAGGTTTCACAGAGCGCCTTTGCACAGGGCACCCTTGCAGTAGGAAAGGGTGGCAGCTCAGCGTCTTCATCTTTGGAGACTGGTGGCAGCTGTGCCTGCTGCTTACTGGACAGCCCCCCTTCCTCTGCCTGCGGCTGCTCAGACAGCAGTTCATCTGATAACTCTTGAGATCTTCAGAAATAAGAATCTGGAAGTAACTACTGATTTGAGAGAATCTGAACAGGATAATTGACTGTGGTAATTTCACAACTGCTCCAAGGACCTCTTTCATTGCATAACATAAAGGTGCCTCTGCAGTTGCCATCTCATGAACTTTCATGAAACCTTTATAATAACCAGGCAAAGCTAAAAATGGTGGAGGCAAACTGTGTAACTGGGCAATGAACATAACCCTTAATTTGACTTGATCTTCTCAGTTCCTGCACTCTTTATGTCACAGCAGCTTTTCAGTCTTTCAAAACCTCTGAGGCCACTCTTTGCTTTTTGCAGCCATCCAGCAGAAACAAGAGGCAAAAAAAGAATCTGAGAGTTCATCTGAGGAATCCAGTGATGAAGATCTAGAAGCTTCTCAGGTATTATTTCACTATCTTGTGCACAAGTTCACTTAGGCTGCATTGGATATTTTGTCTCATCCTAAAAATTTGTTGTAACAGAGAGGGAGGGAGGAAGCAAGCAAGCAAGCAAGCCGGGCACCTGAGGGTAGAGGTAGCAGCAGCTAGGAAGGAGTATCATCCAAGTTGTCAGGAGGATCTGTTGTGCTGGTGAGTCCAAGCATGGGCAACCAGTAGTACTGAGAACCAGATGAGCGGCCTGGCCTAGTGGAGAAAGTCAGGATTCAGTGCCAGTAGAGTTGTTGGGAAAGGCCTGGGATGTGAGCAAGCAGTCAGACATCAGTCCCAGAAGAGGGCAGTCCTGAAAGGCCTGGGTGCTGGCAACAGGTAAGGACTGGGACATGGCAAGTGGCCTGACGAAGATGAAGAGCTGCAGCAGCAGTTTTCATTGGCAATTTAAGCCGTGCCTTAGCTATAAAAGTTGTCTTTATGAGCAGTGAATGGTTCCAGCTGTAGATCTTTGACGCATTAGACTTGCATGCAAGCATGGGACTGTAGTAGTCACCAACAACCTCCCATATGCATGTTTAAGAGGGGCAGGCAAATTTATTGTGTAGGTCATAAATCCATAAAACATATAAATACTTCCCCTCCTTTTCTAGAAAATGGAAGCATTTAACAGCTCCCCCACTCCCTTTGCCTGTGCCTTTTTTCAACGACTCTGCTGTCAGCCTACACACTTTTTCTTGGTTTAGCCCACACATTGGAGAACCATGGGGTTGCCTTCACAAGCTCATTAGAGGAAGAAAACAGTTTTGGAGGAGCCTGCGCTTGCATGGCTGTACATGTGCAGCTTAAGCCTTGTGTTCTGTTTCTTTTTTCAAGAAAATTTCACAGCCCTCTTCCTTCCATTTGTAGCCAGGGTATCACCTCTAAGCTCATGTATCCAAGTAGTTTATTGTGGGGCTGAAGCCATTTGGGGAGGCACATTTAGAAATGGTGCAGGGAAACCTGAGTCCCATGGGGATGAAAACTGACCAACTTTATCTAAAACAGCCTTCCCTATCCAGACTCTCACACAGTGTTAGGAGGGCAGCTCTTCCCAAAATTTCCAGCCAGGAAAATGGGCATCAGGCTTGGAAGGCACTAATAAAAGCTTAATTCTCTGATAGATCTTTGTTTCATGCCATCAGTCTCACACAGACACACACACACACTTGCCAAGACATACTGTTTGCTTCATCCTGTGTGAATTAGGCATTCAGAATGACAGGCTGAAACTCCTTTTCAGAGGAACGAGTTGAAAAACACATCTTCCAATTTTATGTGTCAGCACTGCTGTGAGGTTGTGAAAAATATAAAACTAAGCAGACACTTTGCCAATTGAAAAGAGTGGGGTATATCACTCTGTAACTGCCCTTCCTACTCATCTATGTGCATATGTTATTTCTCTCTCTCTCTCTCTTTTCCCCACTCCTAGTCCCTTCTAGCAGGGCTATCGGGTCCTTCCAAGATCCAGGCATCCACTGTGGCAGCAGGTCCTCTGATATCCAAACAGAGTTCTGGGAAAGCTAGTACTCCAACAGTCAGTGCTCAGGCAAAGGCTTCTGGGAAGCCAGCTCCCGCTGATAGCACATCGTCAGCCGAGAGCTCTTCAAGCAGTAGCGAAGCTGAGGAAACCGTTATCCCAAAAACAGGTTGGTTTTGAAGGAACAGTTGGTACAGAAGACTGAAAGAAAGGCATTCTTTCGGAATTTAGGAACTATCTATATAGTCCCAAGCCTCTACATGTTCATTTTTCAGAGGCAAATGGCCTCTAAATCTCCCCTTTTTTTCAGAATCCAAGCTTACACAGTCATTTCAACTGGGAGAAGATTTTCTGGGTCATGAATGGATCCTGCTGCATTTATTTTTCTCCAAAACTTAATATGCTTTGAAAGATCCTCTGAGATTTGTCCTATGCAGAGACATTGAATGGTTGGGTGATAGCTGCAGATTTGTGATCTTATGATGTAATCGGCTTGGCGATTTTTTCTAAATGAAGATAAATTTTCTGCAATAGGGTTGTGTGGTTTATGGAGCATTCGCCAGATTTTGAGACTGAGGAATGTATAATTCTTAATGTAATACAACATTCTTCAATTGTTAGGCTAAAGTTTGAACCAAAATCCTGAGATAAAGCTTTTTTTTTCCACGCAGGAGAAAGTTGCCCTACTATAATTTCTTTTTCTTTTAGTTGGACAGGTTAGAATAGAAATACATCTAGCTAGCTGTAACTGTAAAATAGTTCCTTAAATTAGAAAGTATCTGTTTTAAAAAGTTAATTAGACCTAGCCTTCCCCAGTTTTTCTTCCAAATGCGTCAGGTCTGCAACTCCTAGAATTTCCAGCTAGCCTTAACAAGTACTTTAGATGGTTTTCCTAGAGAATCTTCAGTTGCCCAATACTGTACTTTATTGCTGGACTTGGTCTCCGTACAGCAGAGGTGATGTAAGGAGCCTCAGCTTTTTATTTTGAGTTGGGAAGTGGGGGCTGATCTTATTTTATGTATTTATTTTAAAAATCTTGAAAGCCCTATCAGTCTCTGCTGTTTTGGGCAGTCTTAGGTCCAGATCCTCAGACTGTGCTGAGCGACAGAGTCATGTCTACTGCAATACATTTTTGTCCTTAAGATTCCAGCACTGGTGGCAAATCCGTTATTTGTTTTGTCCTTCAAGCAGCTGGTGAGGACAAAAGGAGCTAGTCCCTTTTTATTCACTTTTTCATTTGAACATATGCAATGGTGACCCTTGGATTTTATTATTTGAATTATTATTATTATTTACACAAGATATCTGTATTATATGTGATTTTTTTCTATCCTTATTTAGTACAATGTTGGGCTTAGATGGTGTTGTGTGAGACAAGTGGCCTTCCAGATGGTTTTGGAGCCACATTTCTGATAGTCCAAATCAGCACAACACAGCTCACAGTTGAATAACACCCAGATACAAAAGGTGTCTCATACCTGCACTAAAATATCTGGGTGGGCAACTTCCACCCAGTCAGTAAACACAGTTTATTTTCTTTCTTCAGTTTGGGGGCATTGGGGTGATGAAGGAGGTAGGAGTGGATGCAGTAGGGTTAACTTTGGGCCCATGGAGGGGTGGTTAGAGTAATGTTTTCCTACTTAAAATAAATATTAAACCTCTTAAAAATGTAATGCAGCTATTTTGAGCCTCTGTTCTTTTTCTTTAATGCATGTGCTCAAAATCACCAGTTTGCCACCAAATTTGTTGCATGGAGAAGAGGTGAACTGAGATCCGGCAAAATGGATCTGGGGGAGCTATATTCCTCCATAGGACACGGGCTATTCATCCCTGATCTAATTCTTTGATGAATATCCTAAACGAAGATGTAGGATGCCCATGTAGTGCAAATTCATTTGGCCATCCCTATTTTGAGCCAATAAATTGGTTCTGCAAGCATATATATTTTGTTCAAATTTTCCCTGCTGCTCTAGCCTGAACAGAAAGCTTTAGAGTGTTTGTCACAGCCCTAGTATCTAAAATGAGGGGTCTGATTCTGCTGACCATATCAGCATCCCCATTCATTCATGTTTGAAGAAAAGGAAAAATTCTGCCCTCAAGACAAGTGATTAAAATAAGGGCTGGCTGACAAGCTCACTGATGAGGCTTTGGCTGCCATCTACTGGGTGTCCTTAGAAATATGCCAAGCTATTTTCGTACTGTGTGCTCAGAGAAGGCCTGAAGGGAATAAGTGATCAGCATAGATTTTGCCGATTAGTCCCAGGAGTGCTGGCAGAGAGAATACTTAGCATACCTGTATGTCAATTTCCCTTTCCTTTTCTGCTGCCTGCTTAAATTATTCCCTAGCTTGCTAAATGGAGGTGGCTATGAAAGCTTGGCCAATAAAAACAATCCAAAGGTCTATATTGTGCTAAAAGTGGAAGATCAATGGACTGTCCAAAAGTGTTGTTGAGTTGGATCCCTTTTTTTGTTTTCTGGCAGCACTGGGGAAGCATTTTAATGCCGAGCTGAGTTCTGTCCCGGTTCTGGGGCCATTTGATTTATTAGCAGTAAAGAGTCTTGTGGCACCTTAAAGGCTAACCATCAGATGCTTTATCATTTTACTGCAAAAGGCTAACAGTTTGGAGCATGAAGCCCAAGAGATACTTTTATATGGGACATACTTTGAACATCTGCATAGATGTGCCTCAGAAATCTTCTCTTTGGGTTGCTTGCTCTAAGGTAGCCCTGGCCTGATTCCCCTAAAAGGATGTAATGACAGATCCCATACTTCTCAGCCTTTAGCCAGGTTGCCTAGTAATTTTAAGAAAAACACATCTGGAGAGCATTGGGTGGAGAAATGGCATTTAAAATAGCTGTATGACCAGAAGATAGGATCCTGTAGCTGAGAATTCCCTGGAGCAAGCCAGAATGGGAATATAGCAGTAACAGTAAAGCTGTAGATTGTAGCGTGCTCAGTCAGCACCTAGAAGGCAGCGCAGCCCAGGGAAGCAAAAAACTTTTTTAGCTTGTGAACACATGCCACTTTTTAAATATCATTTATTCATATTACATTATGCTTTGATGCTGAGTTGGAATGATTTACCCACGAATTGGCAGTGATCTATAGGCATCAGGTTTTTAGCCGTTGCTGATTTGTAAAAATGTGTTTCTACAGAGATCGTCTCGTTGCCTTCTTCTGGAAGGGAAGCGGCGGCTGCTAAGGTGGAAAAGGGGGCAAGAAAGCGAGGACTGAAAAGCACCAGCTCCAAGGCTCCCCCAGCCAAAAAAGCTGCAGCAAAGGCTCAGAGCAATGGCCAAGCCCCAGGGACCTCTGCGGTACAGTTGCCAGAGTCACTCACCCCATTGTCCAAAGCTGCCTCTGGGAACAAAGAGCAGGCTGCCCCCCAAGTTTCTCTGGGAACCCAGGAAGATGCGCACTCCAACCCTGTTGGGAAGGCCAAGATGTCCAAAACTGGAACAAAGGAGAAGTCGTCCAAGAAACGGAAACTGGCAGCTGGGGATGCTGACCCAGAGGTTTCAAAGGGCAAGAAGCTTAAAATGCAGAGTGGTGAAGAGAAGCTGATAAAGAAGAAGAAGAAGAAGAAGAAATCCAAGTCTTCAGACAACATCAAATCACCAAAGAAAAAAAATGTGAAAGAGAAGAAGTCTGATAAGAGTGAGAACACCATCCCTACTCCATTTGGGCATATCTAAACCGTGTGCTAATTGATGTTCCTGGCCCTATTTTTCTCACTATTCAGTGCATTCTGCTGCCCCCATGTGGGCACATGAGGAATTGCTTGCCAATAAGCAGTTGTTACCAATGCAATTTTCATTTGTGTTAGTAAAGGGAGTAAATCATGACAGAAGGTTAATATGTGGAGAAAGGTTTATTCAGTATGATTCAGTATGTGCAACCCTAGCACTGCTGATGTCCCCCTCCTTATACCTATGGAAGGATGCTCTCCCAACAAACCAACACGTTTTAAGTCTAAAGAAAAGCAATTAAATGAAAAGGGTAGGCAAGAAGGCTTCTCAGAAGATATATTTAGGTCTCTTCTTTAACATTCTTCTGCTTCCTGTGTTTTTCAGCCTCTTCCTTCCTCCTCATTGTCTGGGCTTGCTCTGCTTTCACTACTTCCCCTTTTCTGAGATGCTCTCAGTTCTTTATGAGCCCCAGGATCTGAACTGATTCCAGTCATCTGATCCCACCCTAATTCCTTTTTGTTCTTGAAAAACCAATGTGGGTCCAGAACATTTGGATGCACCAACTTAATAGATCCCTTAAAGTGTGATGTTACAATGACCTATAGGCTGTTTGGTGTGTGCATGTGCCTTTGAGTCAGTGTTGATTCCTGGCCTAGTCCCTGGGGTTCTCTTGGCAAGGTTTTTGCCATTGCCTCCTTCCTCGGCTGAGAGAGAGTGACTGGCCCAAGGTCACCAGCTGGCTTCGTGCCTAAGGAGGGACTGGAACTCGCAGTCTCCCGGTTTCTAGCCTGGTGCCTTAACCACTGCACCAAACTGGCTCTCCTGTTTTGGTGGGGTTTTTTTAATAGAAGAGCAGAGTTTAAACCAGCTCAGAACCAAAATTAACAACAAGCTTAACCTGCTCCGATACTTTATCCCCGTATGAGTTAGCCCATCAGATTAGTCTCCCTCTGGCACTATCCCAAACAAGCAGTCCTGTGGTTTTGGATTTGTTCACCGCCCCTGAATAAAATGCCCCTCAGCCCTTCCAGTGGCGGCAGTGCTCTTGGCAGGACGCTTCAGGGGAGTTGAAGCAGCAGCACTGTAGCCCTTCAGTGCCATGTCTTGGAACAAAGCACACACTGGCCCGGGTGCAAAATCCAACCCTCCTATGCTTCACCTGTCTCTATATGCTGTTGCCACTGATTTCTTTCTTATTTTCTGGATGGAACAGATGGAGGAGGTGGAAGAGCCCTAGCGAGGATGCGTCTTAGGAAATGGCTTCCTTTGCTATGTGGCTTTAAAACTGAAATGGAGCCAGCCTTCCCAGCTCGGGCATATGCTCACCATTTTCCCAGATGGAGCAGAAAAGGATGCTTCAGCTATGAGGGCTGCTGAGTTTGGTTGTATTAAGCAGTAACCGAGTAAATTATGAATATTGGTGCAGATGAGTCAGTGGTATTAAGGCCGCATTTCGAGAGCTGCTGCAAACACTAAGAGAGAGGGAGTTGCTGGAGCATTATTAATCTTGCTATTCAAAGAGCATCTTCAGCCAACGCATAGTTCCTGCTGAGGCATTTGAGCTTCTTCCTCATTTGTTTCCACATGCTGGGCTCTAAGACAGAAATGGTCACAGGCCTCCTCTAGCAAAGGATGAGGCTATAGTGGGAGGATGAGGAGGAAAAAGGGACTCGGATTTTGCTGATCTCGGTTCAAGTTATCCTCTTGAGGGAGAGAAAAGCCATTTATTTCTCTGCTTTACTTCACTTGACTGATGCGTACTGAAATAGGCTATAATGCTCTAGAAATGTACATGTAAAAAAAGGAGTGGAAACTATTTGTCACATATAAAGTCCACTCAGATATACTGTTCTATGTACGTATTTGTCCCCTTTTAGATTTTCTGATTTTTATCCTATTTTTGCCAGGGTCTCATGTGAGTCTGAGTAAACAAATAGATAAAATATATTTGTATAGGTATACACGTATAAAGGGACTCTTGAGTACAGAAATAGCATTGAAGTTTGGTGCTTGTTTCATTTACTTCAGAAACAATGTAATCCATTCAGTATCCTAGTCTGAAAAAAATAATTGCTGTCTTAGATTTAGTAACCATTGTACTTTTTTAGTACAATAACTTTTGTAATTGGTAATGTCTCTCTAACATTGTTGTGTAAGAATTCTGGCCATTCCTCCATAGCATATTGCTCATTCCATAATCCTGCCACAACATTTCCATGGGGTTTAGATCTGGACTTTGGCCTGACCATTCCAAAACATTGAATTTGTCCTCCTTCATCCATTATATTGTAAACTTTCTTGTATGTTTCTACATTTGGGATCATTGCTTTGATTTGTGAATTTCAGCTTCAGCTAACAGAATAGTTGGCTGATGCTGTCCTGCAAAATTCATACTTCCTTCAGGGATGGCAAATCATCTAGGTCCTGAGACAGAAAAGCACCTGTCAACACATGACACTGTTACCTCCATACTTAACAGTTGGTATGAAGTTCTTGTTTTGGAATACAGTATTTGGTTTCCCCCATAGCCACTTTTGACTCATCTGTTGATAGAACATTTCTGTGGAAGAAAAGGTATATTTTGGCCAATTTGAGGTGAGCATCATTGTTCTTTCTTGGCATTGGCTTTCACCTTGCTAAGAAAGAAGTTCATCTCTCCAATGAATCCCATTTTCATCCAGTGTTTTTTTGATGGAGTTATGAACATTGACTTCAGTCAAGATAAGAGGGACTTGGAGATCCATAGAGGTTCTTTTGGAATCCTTTGTGACTTTCTGGATGATTTTATGCTGCACTTTTGGAGTGATATCAACAAGACAACTGATCTTGGGAAGATTCACTGTTGTCCCAGATCTCCATTTCAAGACTAAGTCTCTGACCATGAATCAGTGGTGCCTTAATGGTTTTGTAACCTATTTCAGACTGATAGGCAATGACTTTTTTTTAATGGAAGTCTTCAGAAATTTCTTTTGAGTAGGTCATGACATGCCCCTAGAATCTGTGTGGTTAGAATACAGGAGGGTCATAGCTTGAGATTTATATTAGACAGGGCTATCCCAAATTAATCCTGATTGTGTAATGATGCACTCATGCTACTGGCCTGGTTTAACTGAATTGTTTTAACTGGGGGTGGAATTACTTTTTCACATTAGAACATGTTGGATGCTCGTCTATGAAACAAATGGAACAAGTACCACACTTCAGTGTTTTTATTCACTCAGACTCTATATATATCAGTAGGTAACATTCAGTGGTAAAGGTATGCAAATATCTCAGAAGGAACATATTTTTTTCACAGAACTGTAAGTCTCTTGCAGTTCAGTATAACTTCTATAGTCAACATTTCTTTCCCTCTGGTTTGAGCTTTTTTTGCCATGTGTTACTAATTGAAAGCACACTGAGCCACAAGTTCTGTTGTAGTTGTCCACCAACTTACATAACAGAGAAATGGTGTATTTCATGTGTCTTTGTATGATCTCAATTCCTAAGTGCACTTAATTGCATTGCTGACTGTTCGTTGACCAGCAATACAAGGCAGACACACCCAACAAAATCAGACTTGTTCTGGTAGATTCTTCCTACCTGTTGATAGAGATTTTTGCTTTTTCTGTTGGAAGTTGCCTTGAAAACATAGAAGTATATGCTGTTCTTCCGCAGCATGTCTCATTGTCCTTAGTTGGCATGGTAGGAATTTGTCATTCAACAAATCTGAAGGTTGGGAAAAGCTTCTTTAGATCTGTCATCCACAGCTCTCACTTGGGACCCACATTCTTAAGCAAATATCTCTCATACTGCTAATGGGATGATGTCTTCTAGAGCTCTCGTTTTTAGAAATCCCAGAACTAGATATGTCCCCATGCTTAATTTTGACCAGTGTGTAAGGGCTTTTAGGATATGGTTCTTACACTTAGAATGCTGTTATTAAATTGTACTGAACATCCAAGACGTATAAGCCTGATGAACTTTGTGGTTTCCTCTGCTAGCCACTGCGGCTAAGTAGTAGCCCTTCTTGCCCCTGGTGACTTCTAACTAAAAAGGCTAATCACAAGTACCACCTTAAATTTCTCCCCTATTCTTTTGTCCTATGCCCAAATTAACATTACTGTTCCTTTCAGGAGACTCTAATGATAAATCAGCAGCCTTGGTCCTCTTGTCAATGGATTCTCCAGAAAAACTTGCTGGCCTTAAAAGTCAGGATATGTCTGTAGGAATGGGAACCTAATCATGAGTTACTAATGTTCTTTTACTCTCCACTGTCCTCTTTTTACTCCCATTGCACTGTCTCTATAGTTCTGTCTTGCTTTTGGAGGCTTCCACCCTTCAGTGGAAGGATTTATAAGATCTCTCTCTATTACTCAGAGGGGGGAAGGGAGGGCATTCTATGGCAATCATAGCATCTACCTTTGACCATGCTGGCAAGGAGTTTAGGAAGCTAGGTTCAACATATTTAGAGGGTGACTCTTTGGAAATGGTAGATTAGGATTTTTATTCAGGTTTATTTGAGTAAGAGTTGGACCATCTCTTCTACTATTTGAAGTCACTCCAGAATAGTGACTTAAATTTTAATGAAACCGCAACATGAATGAAAGCAATACATAGTGAACTCAAGTAAAAACACAATATGAAATCAGATTATAGATGCTGAAAATATTAAATTCTCAGAGGAACACCATCTTGTTTCCATAGATGGAGCAGTCTCAGTGTGGCTATTGCTTTTAAACTAGGAAAAGGAGACATGGAGCTGCAAATGGTCAGCTGGTGCATGTTCTGCATTAGTCTTATTTGTATGTCCAGATAGGGAAGCAGATTTGGTTTTACTCTGACTATGCTTTGACTGCATGGTGTTATCATTGGGTTTTAACAACTCTCTTAGCCAAATTCAGAGTTGCACAACTATGATGATGTGGACTATTATTGGGATTTTCTGTGTGGTGCCATGGATGTGAAACGTGAACATTAACATGGTACAAACCAGTCTTAAGTGTTATCTTTGTGTCCAGTTCCCAAGTCTGGGAATTAGCCTCCTAGGAATTCTTAGAAAATAACAGCACATGGCTGCAGCTCGATCGACAAATGTGCCTATTGGTTTAGGAAAAAAAGGAAAGGTGTGTTGGGTAGTGGTGATAATAGCATCCTAGTGTCAAAAGGATAAGAAGCATTATCACCAGTTAGCCTTCTGGTAAATGGCTATTTTATAACACCAGACCCACAACAGCTGTTTTTGTGACATTATCCCAGACACACTCTCAAAAGCCCAAATATGCCTGAATTATAGTTTGCACTGTGAGATGAAATGGGGAGAGGCACAGAAAAGCTATTTTATTTCCCCCGCTCCTCCCTGATGCTCTTCCCCCCCAGCAAGCAATCAGTAAAAGTTCCTTGTGGGCTGCTTAATTAATTAATGCTCAATTGCTTAATCCTATCTAATGTTCTTGCCTTTACTGGACTTCCTTACTCTCCCAGCTATTTTGCTATCCCAGTTAGTGGGACGGGGGGGCAGGGGCTGAGACCTCATGCCAGGACTACATCAGCAACAATGCAGTGAAACCTCATTTTAATGGTCCATTTGGAGGAGAAGGTTTTGAAGTACATCACTGAGGCAATTTATAAGCAAATGATATAAATTGCTGTAGAAGCCATTAAATGAAGGAAAATTAATTTAGCTGCCTCATCTGGAATATTCGGATGCAAAGCGTTTTTCCATTATTTGGGGAGATACTTGAATGGCAAATTGGTCCATTGCACTTGAAGTCTGCTAAATGAGGATCTGTTAAAATTGAGGTTTCTTTGTATTTAGTTTTAGAAAAAATTCAAATGCAATAAATAATGGATTCTGGTGTGAATCTGAATGTTTGTAGAAAAACAGCTGAGTTAGCACTAGGTTTTTCCAGCACAAACTCGGCACTCATTCACAACATGCAGGTTCTTTTTCTTTAACATGACATGTTGCAGTAGCCATTCCTTTAAATGGCTTTGAAATCCAAGATAAAAAGTATCTCTGGGAATTCAGTACAACTGTTCCTGCACTTAAAATCATTCAAAGTTGGGAGTGTGCTTTCAGGTGGCTCAGTCATGTTTTTTTAAAAGATGCAGTCTGATTTTTTTTTTTCTCCCTGTACCATAAATGTTTTACAGAGAAAAAGAAGAGCAAAAATGTGGAGAGACTTGATGCAGATGGGACACAGAAGAAAAAAAAGAAAAAGAAGGTAAGAAGACCGTTCTTGCTTTGAACTGTTTTGCACAATGCTATCTACCTATGAATGAAAGCATAGTCCAAGTTGAACTTGTCTCAGATTCAATTTTAGTTAGGTAATTTGATGAACCTTAATACTAAACCAGTATGGAAATGAGAGTGCAGAAGGAAGTGCACCCCACCATTAATTGGCTTTGTTGCAGTCCTAAGCAGGTATTACAGCATATTGAATGGAATCAGGTAGACTTTCATATATAATTTTTATTGAAGCTATATTACGAACTAATATAAAGTAAGGAAGGGAAAAGAAAAAGAAGGAAAACAAGAAAAAAGCCAAAAGTGCAAGAAAAGAAACAAGTTGAAGAAAAATAGAAAAGAAAGAAAAAAGATATAAAGAAGTGGCTTCTGATATTCTTCACAGCAGTTATAAGTACAAATATATTTTAATCTCTCTCTCTAGTTACATCATAACACTCTTTCCATAACCTATCCTATCTAATCATCAAAACCATAAATCACATTTTTTTTTCATTTTTATGCAAAAAGTTCATAAGAGGCTTCCAGTCAGCAAGAAATGTAGATAATGTATTTTCTCTAATCAAAGAAGTGAATGTAAATCTTCCATGGCTTTTTTCTAACTGTTTATCCATTAATCCTAAAAGGGAAAGTTCCAATTTTGATTGAATATTGATCTTTAAAATCCTCTGTATCCAAGTATGTATTGGAATCCAACATTTTTTAGCTTTTTCACATGTCCACCAAGCATGATAAAATGTCCTTTCGTGTTCATATTTCCAACATACATTTGAAATGCCTTTATACATTCTAGTTAATTTCTCTGGTGTCATATACCAATGATACATAATTTTAAAAATTCTCTTTGAGATCATAACACAATGTAAATTTCAACCCTTTTAACCACATATTTT